CACAATACCCAATGACCAATTCACACGTTTTGACCTGAAGGTCCAACCAATTTCACTCGTCCAAACCACCAGTCGAACGATGACCAACACCCACACACGCACACACATACGGTCATGCTCGATTCATACTCGAGTTCTACACGATGTAGTCATCCCATCGTTTTATAAATGCTTGTAACGTAAGATTAACCGATTAAACGACTTGAGAAAGACCTTCTAAGAGGGTCGGAACGTTGTCAAAAACGCCTTGTGTTTTTTGTTTTTTCGTTAGTCGTGGCTGTGACAAGCTAATTTCCTCGATAATCTTGAGCACGATGTCCAAGTTTTTTAGTGAGATCCGTTCCATCCATGGATCTCGTGTGAATAATTCAAAATAATTTTTGTGATACATTGAATGCCACTTGATATCTCAGCAATAGTACATTGTTGGTATGAAGCAAATCGAATATATTATACGGATATAAGTGGGCATTTACACAGAAAAAACATAAGGAACAAAACCATTCCATCGTTAAAAGCACTTATTCTTCACAAGTGGTTAGCCATTTAGATTTACACTTGTTGAATTATTCCGAGATAATTTCCAACCGTACTTTTACCTGTTGCCGAATATAGTCAGAGTAGCAAAACAACCTGGTAAAAACAGCCATTTATGATCTTACTTTTACGCAGCTCTGCCACAAGCATGTCCCTATATTGAATAAAGGTTTCACACTATGCGTCCCGATGCGCCTCCCAAAATGCCGTTACGGCTTTTGCTCTACTTACGGTCTTTGCGTAGCAAAGATGATTTTTTCTGAAGTGCAGTCACTGGTGCTAGTATGCTAGCTGCTTATTTAAAACAGTGCACGAAATGCAATTGACAGAACCATGAGTTTCCGTCATTTGTTCGTAACCACACCACGCAGATCGATCCAGTTTGGCACGAGGGTTATACAAATCACAAGCGTACAGAGGAACTGAATGCATTTTTATGATGAGTTTGACGAACTAACTTACCCTAGAAAATATGCACCTAGGGGTACGAAAATGATGAAAATATTCGAAAACGTGTGTGCAGTAATGTCCAATCATACAACATGGAGTTGTGTTGACATCACATTACCGACAATTCAGGAGATCAAACACAGTGTTTGAGCCTATGGAACAGTACGCGATTCAAGACGATCGGAGCTTGCCCAAGAAGAATTTGGCCTACAAAGGTCTGGACCGCCGTATTCGGAAGAGTACTGGAAAAATTTAACGATCTCGGTACTTTGTTCGTAACTTTTTCATCGACTCTTAGGGAGAGATAATTAAAAGAATGAACGCAGATCTCTATGAAAGATTCCTGATCAACGAACAAACAACTCTCAAATGCTACTTCAAATCAAGCGACAGTTGAGCCTGGGCGTGTGGCTGGTACAACAAATGTTACAAACTGGCACTCAGGAAAATGAAATCAGTACCACCCTGTATTCATGATCGACTTGCGTGGGCGAGAAGTCACATCAAATCGATTTTCGAGTGACGCAGTGTGGTATTCAGTGATATTAAAAATCTTTACCTCTACGGTCAGGTGGACTCGTCTACTACATCAAATGCATCCCAGCGAGTTGTTTTCAAATGTGAAGTCTACAGCGGTGGCTTTTTGATGGTCATTTTCGGATGGAAAGTCTCGGTTGGCAACTGTCGAAGGAAATCAAATAGCTGAATCCTAAGACAAAACGAGTTTTTTCCATTTAATTTTTCTACAGCGTAATCACTTGTATCATCACCGTACCAAATTTGATCAATCTTGGTGGTTTGTTTGGCGAGAAAATGCGGACATGGAGGTTTGGATGAATAGGACTTCGTGCGCTATACATCGAAAGGGTTTCACATTGAAGGTCGAAAGCAATTATTTTTGTATCTATCAATACCTATAGATAAAAACCCAGTTATTATACTAATTTTAACAAAAAACGAAGTATGGTTTTTATTCGGAGGATTCTTCACATTCTATGAAGGGAAAACGGAGCAAGAAACAAAGTCTCACGTGCTCACACAAGAAGAATTATTTGGAAATAGAAAAAAAAAGATTTCCTTAATTCTTGCATTATCTAACTACTTAAGGAATTTAGTTAGCTACGGTCATTTGGTCTTCGTTCTGAACATTATTACCAGTGAATCTGGACTGCATCAGAGTGGTTAATCTGTTTAGTGTCTAATGCTCGGGAACGGAACATTGGGACCGCTAAATATGGATGCAGGACTATTGGCCGAAAATAGGTGAATTAGGGTCTTGTGAGTCTGACGTCGAGAAAAATGAAACAACCTAAGATGAGAGAATCCGTTCCTGAGCGCAAGTCGCTGTGGTATATTTGATTGAAGTTCAGGCTTGGAAAAACATCAGAAAAATAATGGCAGTCATTTCGATTTATGAAGGACTTCAGTACGCAGTTCCTGCAAGCACTTCAATCACTTAAATTGCTGACTTCTGTAGCTTGCCATTCTAACCGTACTCCGAATGCGCTTTGTTCCTTTCGTGAATTCGCAATGAGAAATACCGGAATCCACTGGGAACAGCTCGAGTTCATCGAAATAGGGTGCAGTCGTTTAGGATTTGACTCATGGAAACTGTGAATACCTTTTCTGGTGGAACATGGGCAATGCAGAATACTTGTCAGACAAAAAAAGAATAAGCAGTACGGTGAGATGAAACGGAAATGAGCTTCATTTCGATTTGATTGATTTCTAAAGCATCAAAAAATAACAAATAACTATTTGACAATGACATGTCTACCAGATTTCGTTAGGACTCTCTAATCAAATGTTACGTCTTAGATTTCTTAGGTTTGGACTGGAAATAACAGACTATGTAATCCCAATCGTCTGTCAGACAGGCTGACTGACACTGAAGACGACATATACGCACACGATTTAATAAATCCGGTCAGCTCTTTTGTGAACTGATTGCCATAGTGATAAAACACTTTACACGAAAGGGCTTTAATCTCCGACGACACAGTGAATNTTACTGATGATCTCTAACTGATATTTCACTAAAGCAATTAAATTTCTAGCTTCATCTGCCGATAACTTCAGTTGATTTCCCATGGGGCACTGTTTATCTTGTTTCCGGAGATAGAACAGATTGCACCAACTTCTCAAAAAATTCTCAACAAGGACCTAAAAGTTTACAATTGGTGTACAATAGTGAGCATCGTTTTACTTGTTTCTCGCTGGTGTGAAAAACACAGGGTGTCGGAAAGATAAACTGTATTATGTTCCCGAAAGTATAGTATTTGTCGCGTGTCCGTGATGTTGTTGACTTCGTTGCTTTATTGTATTTTAGATCAGAGTCGGCTATTTTGACTCAGCAGGAACAGATGCTGGCCTGTTTGGCGAACATTCACTTGAATCGATTCGAAGTAAGAAAATCTGCGGTTCTCGTAAAAAAATGAAATTGTTCAAATTGTTGCTAGACCAATCGAAGTTCATATGGCGAGATTGTGAAAAGCCTGAACACCTCGTACGCTTTTGTACAGTGCACGTTCTACCAGCTGAGCTACGAGGCCACATCGATGGCATTGATCTTTTCACATTTAAATTACCCATCCAACTTACAGAGGCATATGGCATCCATCAGCTCAGCTGGTAGAGCGTGCACTGTACAAAAGCGCAGGTGGTGTTCATGCGTGGGTTCGAATCCCACCGAGGACACTGAAGTTTTCACAATCGCGACATGAAAATGAAATGGTTTCCCATATACTGTTATTATTGGGTGACCGCACAAACCTGATTCATGCAAACAACCGGTTTAGGAAAAATATTGGAGTTTACATTTTTTTACCGTTGGGGAATGAGTATATGATGGTACATACCTGAGGCTGGACGGGTGGGCATGGGGCAGGTGGAATGAACGAACTCGCCACATTGCCGGTTGCAGTAGCCACACTGATATTCGTCTGACTGTTATGTGTCTGAGGATTGGGTTTGGGGGAGGGGGAGAATAGAAAATCGTCGTTTTAAGAAATCAATCGCAAACGTAATGTGGGCAATTATGGCTAAGGTATAGGTTTGTCTCCGTACCGTTTTACCACATACCAGCCCTACTTATCAGAGCAGATCCCTCAAGTATGCTGATTTCTGGCTCTATCATACTATTTCCAATCAAAAATTGGTTTGCTTACAACAAATGTGACACTCGTTGTTACCCATCCAAATTTCGTCTACATCATAACACACAATACTTTTAAATGCACCTCCATCAACTCAAGATCCCTCTACCGTGATTAGTTCTGCCTCCGTTTCAAAAGGTCCACGTGCAAGTACTTGGTGTTGCCATCAGCATTGGTCCTACCACATACACATTGGAGTTTTTAAAAAACTTCAACGGGTGCCTGTTCGAATGTCCAGACTAAGACGTTATGCAGCATGCATATCAATGCTTTTTACCGGCGTTACTTCACTGTTTCTCAGTAATCGATCCGGGTCTGCTTATCTATTTGTTTTGCATGGTTCATTTTTAGATGAACTGTAAGGGTTCTTCGAATTGTTGTACAAACTGAACTGAAATTATTGTTCGAATTATTAAAGCTTAGTTAGACAAAAGTGGATCCAAAGACGATATAAGCAATTTATAATGGGAATGTATGAACACAGTCTTTAGAATTGATGAAAATGATAATCATAATACCCCTTTCAAAGCATTTCATTGAACAGAAAAGGGTGTAATCGAATCGTCAAGGGTTGACTGTAAACTAAACGAGCCCGGTAAAATGTGTCCCAGGATTTCTTCTTTGCGGGACACCGTACAATGTCCGGGAACCTCAGACCTCCACGTCTTTTTTAGCATCGTTTTACGTTGTAAGGTACTCGCCAAGAAAATAACGCCAACCTAAACTTATGTCCGAACCATTGAAACAGGTGACTTTGAAGGAGGACTTAGTTTGTAAATGCCGTTCGATTGCTCCTTATTCCTTGGTTGACGTAAGCACAGACGAACGAAGGTCGCGGAGTGAGAGAAAAAATAACATACTCGATGATGCCTCAACATCATATTTGCTAATCGAGTAACCTTGTGGGAAACTGATGAATATCACAAAACGTTAGCATCCTGAGATTTCACATACTTTTAGCCTACATGCGTTATTTAATTTCACTACTAAGGCGTGTGGTTAGCAACCGTCTAACAAGTTCCTACAAAGCCTTAAGCAAACCCAAGAGACCGGTGAAACCCGGTGCGCTTACTGAATCAAATCATTTAAAAAGGTTTCACAGGCGTTTTGTTCTATACAGACCGGGGTTTCATCTTATCATGACGTTCCGCAACCAATACTCCACATAATGTCTGACAATTTTATACAGAAATGCTAACGAATGCTACCGTGTAGCACTCCCGTGCAATCGAAAACAAAAAATATGGCCGGTGTAAGAGCGCATAAAAGATGGCCCGAAGAGTGTATGCAGATGGTGACCACAACAGGTGGTCATTCAGTTCATTTTGAATCACTTCGTTAATCTCTTGTGCTCCAGTTGAGCAGGTCCGTAGGAAGCAACCAATTCGGTTCAATGCAGGAAATCAAAGTGAGTAAAGACAGTGTTTAGCTAAACTCCATGGCTGAGTAAAAACAAGAAACCGGAACTTGTTAAATGAAATATTGTGAAGGAAGTAACCGAATTGTAGCCACAAAAACATAAGACGAGACAGAAAATGCATGATTTGCTAACTTCTGATGTTTGATCGAGGGGGGGGTGGGCGGTCGACGAAGTTCGCAAAGCCTGTGATCGATAACCCGGGGCCGCTGTGGACACCAAAACTCCTGACGGAGAAGCAAGGCCGACTGACACATTTCCCATCACAGAAGCTGCGTTGTCGGTAGCCAATTGATTTGAGCTCAACTGGATTACAGAACCAGTATAGAAGAGATCTTTTTTATACTGAGGACGGGCCATTTCACGGCGTAGACGAGCATGAATTTCCGCTTTGATTTCGTCGTCCAAAAGTGGATGATCCGATGGTTGGGCTCCATTGTTTGCGGCGTCTAATTCGACCCATCGTGTACCTGAAGTGCCCGCAACGGTACCACCACCAGTAGTACCTTCCAGCAAACCTTGGGCACGAAATTCCAAACTGGCATCAGAAACAGTGTGACGTAGACTGGTAGACTGAAAACCAATTTATAAAAAGCATCATTTATCTATACATTTCATTATACTAAAC